GTGAAAACATCATCACAGTGCGGAAAGTACTTGCCTCAAGGAAAGCCACAGGCCACACACTTTTCTTCGAGTCGAAAGTTTCCTGCCTTCGAATGCCTTTCTCTGGGTGTAAGTTTCCTGGCAGCAGATATTTTCTTTCGAGATGTTTCCTTTCGCGCAGCAGCAGTTATTATCTTTATTTTGGGGCAGCAATTCCCATTATTCTGAAATAAAAATTCACCACCTTTCTTGGGGAGAATTGCCCACATTTCTCAAGGATATATATCCATATTTCTCAGGCTGAAATTTCCATATTTCTCAGGCTGAAATTTCCATATTTGTAAGGCTGAAATTTCCATTTTTCTAAGTCTGAAATTTCCATCTTTCTAATGCTGAAATTTTCCGCTTTCTCTAGCTAAAAGAACAGAGAAAACTCCCATAGGCACCTGCCTTTACATTCAATAAAAATTGTTGCACATTCTACAAACCATTTTATATATTTTTTTTTTGTTCGAAGAGCTTACAAGTTTAGTATTTGTTCATGTGGAAAACTTTGAAGCAGCAAAACGTTTTTTCTCCTACTCTTTTTGCGCTTCGCTTTGACAAACACCAAAAAAAAAAAAGGGGAAAAACTGAGAAATGGTAAAATGGGGCGGAAAATTGATGAATCGAGAAACGAGAGTGAAGAGTTTGACAGACAGAAGGGCCCACTCGATGAAAGGTAACAAGTGGAAGGGTTCCCGTTCTTCCAAACGAATATTGAATGGAAATGTGCCCCTCCAACTGATGCGCAGGCTGCTACCTTTGCTGTGCATGCCACATGTCGCATATATGTAGCTGTCTTTATAATCAAATTGATATGCCAGACGACAGCAATTGGCTTGCTCTTATTTCTGTTGGTTTTTTTTTGTTCTTCTCTTTTTTCTCTGTATGCTATAAATTCAATTACATTTGAATCAACGAGAGAGACGCAGACCCATGTGTGTCGGCGGAGGTGGTGCTTCACGTTGGTTGTGGCTGTGGCAGTGGCAGTGGCCTGTGGCTGTGAATGCGATTTTCTGTGGGGGCATTAATTAAAATTAATGAATTGTGACAGAGTGTTGATTTAATGTCTACGCTGCAAGGGTAAAGAGTGGCAGAAAATGAATGGAGGGAAAGAGAGAGGGAGTATGTTGCAGGCAGGCAGGCAGGCAGGCAGGCAGGCAGGCAGGAAAGGCGAAGAGAACCATGGCTAATGGCAGATGATGGAAGGGGAGACATTAGTTGGTAGAAGGAAAAGAGCAATGCCAGGCAGCAGCAGCAGCAGCAACAAAGAATGGAAAGGGTTGAGCAATTGAGCAAATTTCTTGTACAACGCTATGGCGGGGGAGGGGGCGTATACGTGATGTAGTTTTGTAATTTGTAATTTGGAGGCCAAGATGCAGTTGTAACATGTGGCACACACACACACAAATCTCAGTGTGTGCCAGGGTCGGGCCGTGGAGTCAAGTGCACGTGTTGCCTGCCTGCCGGATGACTAATGTAATAAATATCGTTGTGACGTCAGTGCAGGAAGCCCCCCGAGAGCCTGTCAATGTCTGCCACTGCTTGCTGCATGCCACATTGTACTAGCAGCCCCATGTGTTGTGTATTTCCCAAATGCGCTCGGAAAATGAGCTATGAAAATATTTTGGCTTCTTGTTTTTTGCAGTCCCAGGACTGCTACTGGCACTCGCCACTCTCTGCAAGTGCCACAGGGAACTCTGCTTCACAACTCTCTGCTACTGCCACATAGCTCCCTCTGCTACTGCTCCTGCCACTGCCACAGCCTCTCTGCTCCTGCCACTGCCACTGCCTCTCTGCATCACTCAACTTATACACAATGCTCATTGCTTATTTATCAGATATATCCACACATTGCCTGTAGATGCATGCCCCATTCACCCACGCGTTTTTCCCTGCTTTGATTTGATATTTCATATGCGACTCTTCCACCCCCTCTCTCTCTCTCTCTCTGCCACTGTATTGCATATATGTGGGTTGGCCGCACAATTAGTTTGCGGCTTCTTAACGAATTGTTGCTGTCGCTTTCTGTTCTTTTGTTTGTTTTTGGCAATGGCACCCGCCCCCCTCCGGCATTTGACTTTGGGGCATCCTGAATTATAAATAAATCTCGGCATTACGTTTAACATGAAATTGAAATCCCAGCTGACGTCACACTGTGTCGCCCACACACACACACACACACACACACACACACAGACACAGACGAATGGAGATAAAGTTAAACTTTTAGTGAGGTTTATGCCCGAGAGAGATATCACGATGCTGGAAGACTTTTAATGCAATTGTTTTGTGGCAGTGCAAAGAGACTGGGAACAGAGAGCGGAAATAAAGAGTGAAAGAGGATTAATTATCCTTGCAAATTGTTTGAAAGGTTAACTTTTTCCGACTTTAAGTGAGCTTAGGCCACAGCATTTAGCGAGATTTGGAGATGGAGAGGGACTTCTAATGAAATGCAGAATGAAAAAGATACAAGTTAATTTTTTTCCTAGAATTTTATTGACTCTAGGCCGATCTTTTTTGATATTTAAATGAATTTTAATAGAAAATTTCTTAGTTAAGTATTAGATATTAATTAATAGCTATTTAAGTTTGTCCTCTCTTTAGTACTGTTTATGCCGCTTTAGGCCACCGCATAAACGTCTTTGCCTTCGACTAGTTTGCCTAATTTTGGGCCTTCGTCCTTGGTCATTCAGTTTCCGACACGAATCTCATTGTAATTGCCAGCCACACTAACGATAATTGATTAGAGTTTGGCTTTAAGTGTCGGCTGTTGGCCAAGAGAGAGAGAGAGATGCAGAGAGAGAGATGGAGAGAGAGGGTAATGCTTTTGGCCATGTTTGTGTTTGTCTGCAATCGTGTTCCTGTGTGTTTGCTAATTAGAGGCCAAACTTTCTGCTTAATTAATGTCATTAGTGGTGCGCTTTGTTTTAGCCAAAAGGACAGAGAGAGAGAGAGAGAGCGAAGCAAGATGGGGAAATGTAAGAGATGGAAGAGAAAAGTTCTGAGATAGAGAGCAGCAGAGATAGAGGCCCAAGAAAACTTTGCCTACCCACACACAAAAAAATGATTACACGAGACAGGTTTCAGAGATGAAAGCCACTTTCAGATTAGCCCATGAAGATTGGGTGGAAATTCGCAGAGGCGGCGGCTCGGCTCGGCTCTCCCACCCTTGCAGATTGTGGCCCACAGATAGCCGACCCAGAGCCGAGCCTGTCAGCCCTCTGCTCCTACTAATTGATATATGACCGAACCGAGAAGGAATCATCTCCTCTGCCATCTCCCATTTGCATAATTGATGTGCAGTCTTAATTGGTTTTCATTTCGCTTTTAAATTTGTTTACATTTGCATTAATTCTCTGGAGATAAATAAACAATATTTGCACCTATGTCAAAGTCAAGGCAAGGCAAGGCAAGGCATTTTCCCCACTGCTATTTTTTCTTTTCTTTTTCTATATATAATATGCATTTCCTTTTCATGAACTTGATGCATGAAATGTCTTGTGTGTGCGCTTGGTTTTTTAAAAAACAATTTTTCAGTAATTTTTTGGTGTCAAACAAAAAACGAGAAATGAATGCGGTAATATACTGATCTTTCCTTTTTTTTTTCTTTGGTTTTGTTTAGAAATAAATATTTAGGCAAACACGTCAGGCCGGGCCGTCTGTGCCTGTGCCTTTGCCTTTCTTTTCTTGCCTCTGCCGTAGCGTCTGGCAGTGGGCCAACGGAATTTGTATCTGTTTCAGATACTCGTAGTTTGAGGCATCCAAACGATCCGCACACTATAAGCAGAGGCATCATCAGTTCCATTCCCTATATGTATCTGTTGTTGCAGATTCTCTCAATTTGTGCTGCGTATTTAGAGGGAAGATGCTTTGATTAGCGAATTAAAATTGGAATGCAATCTCGTAATATTTTTAGTGGGATTATTCACAAACAGCAGAATGCGGGGCAGGCGGAGACTGTTGAAAATATTCACATTAATTTCCCGCTGCTTGATGTCTTACTCCCTCGCCCCTCTGCCTGCCAATCCCCTGCCACCGCTTGACTGCCAATTAATTGCGTGATGGTTTTGCACTGAATTTTCCGCCAGTTTATATTTTGCTGCTCTTAGGCCATAAATATTTTTGGGATCTTTCTGCGGCTGGCTGTCTGTCAACCGATCAGCATTTAATGACTGTCCTGAAGTGTAAGGAAAATGTGAGCGCAAAATCTATTTGGAATTTTCTATTTAATTGCTTTTGGCGATGGGCATTTGTGTAAGTGATCTGCTCCTCCTCCTCTCTGCGCGAAACTGTGGGAAAATGTCTATTAAGGGAAGAATTTTAATTGCGTGGAAAAATAAGACATTTTCCGAAAACAGAAATTTTTTTTATTTTTTTTTTTGAGGGCAATCTTTGGACCCATTTCCGTTGTGGGTACGGGCATCCGTTAGCATTTCTTTCTCATTATTTCGTGTACCTTTTTAAACGGAAATAAATGGGAAAAGTGCCATGTGAAGTGCGGTTCGTAATTGTAAGACCACTTAAACCTTTAACAACAATTAAATAAAAATATTACTCCACGAAAGCACTGGGCCACTGGTAGAGCACAGAAGGTGCTTTGGTCTCTGAACAAAAGGATGTGCGGAAAAACGAGAAAAACGAGAGACACACGAAGGACATGTGTATCCTTTGGCTTTGTGGCCACTCAAGTGGCAAGCGGTCTGCTGGCGGGGCGGGGGGGCTCTGTGGGCAGGGCAATTTTCCACTGACCCAAAGGACTCTGTGCCAGGCAACTGTTTTCTGTGGCCATGCCCACCGACCACCGACAATTAAAGTAAAAGCTTGTGTCAAGTGGGGCATGCCACCACCACACTGCCTCGCTGGCTGTCTGGCTGTCTGTCGAGTGGATTCATGGCATACTCTTTTAACTATAAATTAGTTTACTCTTTACTCACTTTATCCTCATTCCTTTCCCTCTGTTTGCCTCTCTGTTGCAGAACCAAGAAAAGACAAGACTGATGCACAACAACAACAACAGCAACATGGTGGCAACGGCACAATATCCACTCCCAACATCGAGCAGCCGCAATGTCAGGGTTCCATGCTACCGCCACCAGGAGGCGGCGGCGGCGGTGGTGGCCATCACCAGGTGGATGGAAAAATGGAGAGGCCCAACACATTGGGCGGCGCCAATAAGCTGACCCGCCGAGGGGTCAACATTTGCTACCACAACGAGCACATGTGTAAGTGCAACATGCCCCGTCCAAAAGATTAATACTCTTGGAATACTCATAGAACTAGAATCAGTTTTAGATGGAAAGGCAGGGAGGGAGAAACTTAAATTCGATACGATTGAAAAACGTAAATTATTAAAATTAAATTTAAATTCGAATCGGTAAATTATCGAAATGTATCGATATATTTTCTAAATGTATCGATATATCATCGAAATGTATCGATATATCATCGAAATGTATTGATATATTATCGAAATGTATCGATATATTATCGAAATGTATCGATAATTATCGAATCATAAATTATAAGAAATATTCGATCTATTAAATAAATTGTCGATAAAATCGATATGTAACTTTATCTCTCCTTCGCCCGCCCAAGCGACTTCACTCACACTAAACCCACAAAGCACAACGCCACACGCACACACCCACACCCGAAACACTCACTAACCCACCCCACACGCACACACACACACGCACACTCACAGTCACACACACCACCCACATTTATTTAATGGCTAGAATCAAGGAACAGTTCTCTCGCTCTCTTTATTCTCCTCTCTCTCACTCTCTCTCTCGAAAAATATACCACTCGCTCTACGATTCCCAAAACACATTTTCTGATCTCCCACCCACAGATGGCGACGATGGCGGCAAGATGGTAGGCGGTCCACCGGGCAGTACACCACCGCCATATGCGGGCGGGAAGCTGCCACCGGGTGTGATGCTCAGCGAACTGCCAGAGCCACCGATACCGTTGTCGGAGATCGGACCGATCCCACCGCCGCCAATGTTCTCCACGCCGAGCCCCACGCTCATCGCTGGACGACCGCACGGGCCAGGCGCCATACACGATCAGGACTACCAGCAGGACTATGACTATGATGGTAAATCGATCGATGACGGGGAATTCCTCCACTCCATACATATAATCTGATCCCAACCCAAGCCCGACCCCAACCAAGACAGCCTCCAAAAACCCTCCCGTTTGATTAGCTCATTACCCAGAACAAAAATGCGCACTTCATAACTATGCTAGTGCTCTGCGATGCAGCCCGCCCCGCCCCGCCCCGCCCATCCCTACCCTTCCGCCGCATTAGCTATGACCCTCGAATGGTGATTTTATTGCCTTACTGATGCTTAATTCATTCCGATTCGCCACAGATCACGATCCCGATCAGGATGAACTCGATTCGGACGATGAGTATGCCCCATACGGTGGCGGCAATCATGTCCGCATGATGGACACCCAACGCGTTGAGGAAATTCCAGCCAAAGAGCCAAAGCCAAATGCAGTTCCTCTCAAATCGGCCCTCAAGAAGAAGGGCGGCGCCCTGCCTGCCTCCGCCTCTACGCCCGTGACACCCACCCAGGAGCACCATCATGGGGGTGGACCAGGTGGCGGCCAAAGTGCAGCCACAGCAGCGGCCATATCCAATAGCAATGGTGGCATTGGCTCCATGGCAGCAGCAGCCGCAGCAGCGGCCCAACAATCGGCCAGTCAGCGACCTCTGGTGGTGCGACAGGATGCGGCAGGGAATAACTATTCGCTCAAGTGAGTAAAAAAACTATTAAATGTAGAAATAGGAGGGGTTTTTATCGGTTGGAGCTTTGACGAAAATAATCCAAAAGAATCAAGAAAGATTAAAGGAAATTTGCATTGAAGAAATTCCAACAATTTATCGAAAATTAAAGGATACTCCTCAGAGATGAAATGGATTTCTTTGGTCAAGATCCCAACGGAAAAACCCTTTCCTTTTATAAGTAGCATATATTTTGTATGGTTTTTTTTTTACTTAACTCCCAGTTAAATCAAATCCCGCTCTCCGAACACCACTCACATATTTTGGTAGTTTTTTCTGTTTCAAAGAAAAACTTGTATTATTCACCAAAATAAAGATAAGAAAAACCCCAACAAAAAAAAATTCCCACCCCGTAATAATACCTTTCCTTCTATTATTTTGAGCTGTTTTTTTTTCTTTTTTCAATTTGTTACTTGAACTATTTTTCTATATAACAACAATTTGTTCTCTCTCTCTCTCTTCTCCGTTTTTTTTCCTAACCCACCCCCCCACTTTACGTACTGTGTACTACTGTGTTTGTTCTTTTACATCATATTTGATTCGTATGAACACGTTCAATCAATCAATCAATCAACAAACAAACCAACCAACCAACACCCTACTCCACTTCTATATCTACAACCTACTACTACTATTCTGATCAACAAAAATCAGGCCAATACTACGACCACGGATTAGAATATGGTAAACCATTTTTTCGATAATTTATTTGTTGTGTGAGAAAAAAAATCATGATGAAAAAACAAAAACAAAAACAAAAAATCCCCAAAAAATATACGTATGCAAAATGCTTTTAGTGCACATCCTTCCATACACACACACGCATATGTATCTCTCCCCCGCTCTCGCTCTCACTCTTCTGCTATGACTGTTGTTATGTAACCGCCCCCCTAATGCAGTAATCCTCTCACAAAACAAAATACAACTGGAATTCTCATATCCCCCAGGCACTCACAGTCTCTCACACTCACGTCCTGCACTTCTAAAACACTCTGAACATTCGTTTTTGTAGTAATTTTTTGTTTAAGTTTGTTTTTTAAACTTTAACAACACTGAAACATACACACACACACACGCCACAGCCACACTGCAAAACAACAACAGCAGGAACGGGCACACTATGCTGTGTAGTACACTACTTACTTTCATTTTGTTTTATTAAATTTACTAACTTACTCTGTTTTCTCGGTTGTTTTGAAGAGGAAACTTGGTTCTTTTTCTTAGAGATCCTGCTCTCAAGTACTCTTACACATTTTCCCCTGTACATGCGTGTGTATGTGTGTGTGTATCTGCGTGCAACTGTGTGGGTGTATTTTTGCTCATAAAAGTTTCTTTGTCTTCCTTTACACTGTCTATACATACTACTCGAGTGAGGATGGGGAGAGGTCCTGTTCTTACTGCATGTTTCATTTCAAATAAGATTTTTTTTCAAATTACAATTTTCCCCCCTACATCGCACGCTCTCTCTCGCTTTGTCCCTGTCTCTCTCTCTCTCTCTCTATTTTAATTTGATATTTTTCACATTCGAAATATGCAAAAAGAAAACGAAAGCAGGAAATGAGTTCGAGTTTTTTTTTTTTTCATTAGGCAAAAACTTTTGCCTTAAACTTTTGGCCCAAGGCGTTCGTACGAACGAAGCAAAGCCAAAGCCATGGATTGAAATTCAAATTCAAATCGAGGACAAAAAAAAGCAGCTGAAACCGAGACAGACGCACATGCGAGTGTTTTTTTTCTACTCCAAATATTGAGCCAGAGAAACGCAACATATGTCAGTGTCCCTCTCGAAAAATCGGAAGAAGAAAATCTTCAACTGGAGAAGGGTTTTTTTTCCTACACTCTCACATGTGTGAAATTTATGCAGTTTATTGCAAAAAAAAGCAACAAAAAAAAAAAAATTAAAAAAGAAATATGTAAAATAGATGCAACAAAGCGTAAACGCAGAAGCCTGCCCTGCCATGCCATGCCATGGCCCAGTACGTGCCTGGAAAAACATTTTCCTGTCTGCCGGAATGCCTGTCGCCCTGCCATGATATCTATCATATGAGCAGAGTGTGTTCCATGGCGCACAGCAGAGGCTCAATTGAGTGCAATTTATGGATCTGTCAAACTATGAAGCAATTTCGAATGGGTAGGAAAAGTTAAATGGATCGAAATATGATTCAGTATTCTGTGAAGAGGTACAACACCAAAGTGGTCGTAGTGTACCCTTCTATTTATCTGTTGATTTGACATATTTATGGGATGGCTAGAAATTATTCAAATAAGAAAATGTTTACCAGAAGAAGTATCATTAAAAGTTGATATAAATATGGATTCATACTCCTTATGATATGTCTCTTATTTCTATGGATAAGCCAATGTTTGTCTCGCAAATAAAAAAAGGTGACTTCCTAGCTTCCAATGCCAATGGCAGCCAGTGTACGGACGACTTCCTCCGAGCATGAGGATGAGCATGATAGTTGCTATGAGCGACTATTGTATGTCCTCCCCAGGGTATACCGCTTGCGTCACTCCCACGCAGTGCATGGAGAATTCTTCTCTTCTCCTTTTCTTTTCTTTTTTTTTTTTTGTTGTATCCACAATCGTGTTTGGCATTAACGCCCCAAAAGTGCGGCGGAAGCTGGCAAACAGGATATGGCATTCAAGGCGAACGAGATTCAAGCCGAGAGCCAAACGACGACAGCTTTAAGTACAATACAAAGTCAAACACACACACACACACACACACCAAACGCATATACGGCACATACGAGAGTACACATATATGCATGTATTTTGCATATTATATGCTCGACAGTGTGTGTGTGGTTATCTCTCTCTCGGATGAGTGTGTGGCAGCCAGATGTGCACTCCACGTGCCGTTAAAAAGGAAAAGAAAACAAAATTGCCGCAGCAGCAGCAGCAACGAGTGAGTGGGGAGCGCCAGAAAAATAAAGAGGTGAAAAAATAAGCATTTTTCGGTTTTGGTGACAAAAAACTTTAAGGACAAAACCCGCAGTGAGGGAGATAGAATGTAAGCTCCAGAGATGTGCTAAAAAAAACTAGTGAAAAATAGCACAAAATCTGACAAAAAAAAAACGAGTGCAAATAGAGCGGGAAAAGCAGTGAGATAGAACGATAGCTTCGGCAGAGATAAAACGAGTGGCTGTATGAACGAGAAGTGAATGATCGATATGATAGAACGAGAGTGGATAGAACGCGAGGATATTTTAATGAGAGCAGACAAAATCCAGGCTTAATAAACGAAAGCTGCTTTATTGAGAGCAGATAGAACGAGAGTAGCTGAAGATAGAACGAAAGATAAATGAACGAAAGCAGCTAAAACCAAATCTAAATAACGAGAGAATACATACCGAGAGACTCTGAGAGAGAGACAACGACAGAAAATAACTAGAACGAGAGATTCAGCGAGAGCTGATAGAACAAGACCCGTTGCAACGACGCCTTGGAGTTTCAATAACCTGAAAAAGAAAACATCCTTCACCTGCATGCATGTGTACATATGTGTATGTGTATTAAAAAACTGCTGCTAGTACCTGTGTGTGAGCATGTGAAGTAGCAGAGAGTATAATCTGGCAGATTGCCCCCAACCAGATTACAAAGAGATTAAAGAAGTGCAAGAGTGTAAGAGACATGCATGAGTGTTACCTTCATTTGCTGTTGTTTTTTTCGGTGTCGTGTGTAGTGCAAATGGCGGCGTTAGCTTTAGAGCATCGCAGTGTATACTATAATACCACCACAAAGCTAATGTGCCTTCCCTTGGATGCTTTTTCCCGCAGCAGGCAGCAAATGTTCAACATCCAGTTGCCGTGCACCGTGGAGAACAAGGAGAACACTCGGCCCTCACATGTGATACGGGAGAGCAGCAGCGACAGCGACGAGGGCGATGGTCATATCGTCTATCGCGATGACGACAATGATAATGTCCGTTTGGCCAAGCTGGCACGCAAGGAGTCGCTGTCTTTGAAGCTGCAACTGCGACCGGATAAACAGGATCTGATCAATCGCAATATCCTGCACCAGGTCACCGACAACGAGATCAAAGAGTCCAAGGAGGCGATCGGAGCTCGTCTCATACGACGGCTATCGATGCGGCCCACCGCCGAAGAGCTGGTCGAGCGTAATATCTTGAAAAGTGAGTACGAAAAATGAGATTTTCCACCCAAAAGAATCGTCCATAATCCTTTTGGATTCTTTATTGTGTAGCTCAATCACCCGCCGAGGAGAAGAAACAAAAGGAGGAGAAAAAATCGTATCTGCTGCGGAAGCTCAGTTTTCGGCCCACCGTTGAGGAGCTCAAGGAGAAGAAGATCATTCGGTTCAATGACTACATCGAGGTGACGCAGGCCCACGACTATGATCGCAGGGCGGATAAGCCATGGACAAGACTGACGCCAAAGGACAAGGCCGCCATACGCAAGGAGCTGAACGAGTTTAAGTCCTCCGAAATGGCCGTCCACGAGGGCAGTCGGCATTTGACGAGGTATACAACATAGACAGTCCGGCCCGTCCCGCCCGTCCGGCCCGGGCAGTCTCTCCTTTAGCTGCTTTTCGGCTCTTTGCAAATTGCTCTCCTGCGTCCAAAGCAATCTAACCAGTGTGGGGGTCCCCGGTTCCACGTTCACTGACAGGCCACTGAATTATGTAGCGGATGTCCTTGTGGGGCCAAATCGAATGGCGAATGAAAGAGTGAAAGAGCCAAGCAAGCAAGCAAAAAATTGCCAATGCCAATGGCCAGTGAAGTGTCACGTGCATGCGGCAGTGGGAGTCCGAGTGCGAGTCCGAGTCCACACCATGCCACACAAACACACACACTATTACATCTCGTTTTTTTGAGGACGATATGTAGCCACAAAGGATTTAGCGGTGGTACCATTTCTATTTCCATTTCGATTGCAATTTCTGTGTAGAAGAGTGTGTAATGGCTTTTTGGAATTTTCGTGTGTGCCGGCAATGGCTCAGACACAGGCCCAGGCCCGAACCTTAAAGCCAAATGGCTGGCCAGCGGCAAATCAGGAGAGCAAAAGCAGAGCAGGAGCAGGAGAGCAACTTTTGCGACCCCATAAACTTGCTGCGTGTTGCACACACACACACACACACACACACAAAACTAATCAAAACTTTTCTCCTACTTTTCTGCAGATTCCATAGGCCATGACGATTGCAATGGCAGCAACTTTCCAGCAAATTGCAACAGAAGCAACCCAAGAAGAAACAACAATTGTATTTTATGCAACATCAAATTGTCAGCAAATATTTAAAGGCAACCAATTAAGAGAGCAGAAAAAAAAACAGTTTTTCTCCCAGATAGAAAATTCAAATAAAATATACAAAAAAAAAAAAGGAAGAAAAGAAAAGGGAAACAAAGGAAGAAAAATGAAAAGAGGAAAGAAAAGAGGAGAGTCCACATTCAAGAACATAATTTAGGTTTTGAGAGAGCGCGCGTTCCGCTCTCCGTTTTCTAATTCTAAGTTCTTTATGTTTTTGTTCCACCTATTTTCTCTATTTGTTAATTATATTAATTGTAAATAAATTTTCATTTGATATTCAAGCCAATTTTGTCAAGATAAACGTTAATCAAAATACCGATATGTCGATTCGTTGTGTAGAAAAATGTTAAGTCGCTTTTGTCAGCGCCCAACCATCGCGCTGAAGGCACATTATGTATTATATTATATAAAAAACAAAAAACAAAAAAACGAGAGAAAACACACACATACAAAAAGATATTAAATTTAAATGGTAGAGTCCCAAAAAATGATGGCTGAGAGAGGGAGATAAAAATTCACTAAAGTTTAGGCCTTAATTTACAATTACTGTTGCTTTCCATACATTTTTAAACAAAACTTTGATTTAAGCCACACACACAAAAATAAAACAAAAATATAAAACACAAAAAATAAGGTAAACTATAACCCGGAAATGAGAGAATTCTAAACCGTTAATTTTTAAAAAACTATGATTATTAATTATTGTAAAAAGCTTAAACTTAAAAACGAAAAACAACACATTAAAATATAGAAGAAGACTACCACATAACGATACGATACGATACGGAAAAATAAATGCAAGTTTTTCGAAAAGACACTCAAGTATATTTTGTAGGATAATTTTGTTTGTTTTCCATACGTTTTATTGTCAATTTGTTCCCTTACAGCCTCTTGAGTTTTTTCTTCTGTTCTTCAACAAAACATGTACATACATATCGCCAAAGAAAAATCTAATAAGAAAACTATGCATGCAAGGAGGCATACGAAAAGAAAAGCCAGTAAATGCTCAAAACTAAAAGGAAGAGAAAACCAAAACAGAGAACACAAGAAAATTCGTATATCAGGAAAATATTAACTGAATAAAAGTTTGGACCCAGAATGAAGTTTTTAAGAGAGAAGAGAACCAGTAAAGAATACAATATTAAAAAAAAAATTTACATTTTAAGATAAAAGTCACGTAAACAATTTTTAGAGAGAGAGACAGGAAAATACGAAATAGAATGCGGAACAACAGATGGAACAAACATCCTCCCTCCCCCTCTGATGATGGGTTGGAATTGATGAATATTTATTTTGTAAAACCTCCCCCCACTCCAACAAAAAAAAAGAGGAGTGGAAACTGAAAACTTTTACTCACAAAAAAAAAACATTTCAAACAGAATAGTAAACTTAACCAGAAGATGAAAACAAAAACTAAAAATATATATGTATGATAACCAGAAGAAGAAAAGAAATTTTACATTTTTGAGGCAAATGCAAAATGAAATGCTCGCGCGTGCTCGTGAATATTTAAACTTAAAGAAACGTAAAAACAAACTAAAAGTAAAACGTAAAATACTAAAAAAATCCGTTTGGAAATTTAGTAAGATATACAGATACACACACACAGCTACAGCTGCAGATAAAGCATATAAATTTAAACAAACGCAAAAAAAAGCAAAAAGAATTAATGGGCAAAAAAGAAAAAAACCAATGGAAATTTAGTTCTAATCGATAAAGTGGCGCTTCCTTTTGCAAAAACGTTTCATATTTCTCGAGAAAACCGACTTGAAGCGAATGAAAACGAAGACTTGTGTTTCATGTGACAGATGTTTAGAGGATTCAACTGGGGATTCTACGGATATATCAATAGTTTTTTTGGCTAGGGCTTGGAACACCAAATTGGGTTTCTCTCTGAAAAACAAGAGAAGAGAATGAATCTATCTTTCTCGCTCTCTCTATCTCTATGTCTGCCTCCTGCTTCAAAGCGTTGCATTGTCAAAAAAACAAAAAAGTTAAGCAATATATATTGCATATATACATATATATATATATATACATACATAAATAAATTATACATATTTAATGACTATACAAAATACAGGTGAGAGGCAGAAGAGAATACCGAGTATATATATGTATTGTATATGTATACACCTATTTATATGACGATGATAAGCGATAATGATGATAATGATGATGATGAAGCCGAGATGATACTATAAAGAACTCTATCAAAATATGGGATAGTAATTAGTTTACACTTTTTCTATGGAGCGATTTATAGAGCCAGAAGAAGAGAAGAACCAGAAACAGCACCACAGAGAGAGAAAGAGGCGTCGCGACGGTTTCGAAACCCTCGTACTCCCCTGTTCTATCCGCGAACGAAGTCGAATAGTAGGCGGCGAGCTATCTAGAAACGAATTTTTAGGTTCTCCAGGTCCCTAATCCCCCCCCACCAGCCCCTCCCCATTAGTTTCTGCCTTTTGGTTATATGTACTCCTCGATTCTATCTGATTCCCTATTTTTCGACACATCTTTGCCAATTTTTGCAGTTGCCGTTGCAATGAGATACAAAAAAAAACAAAACAAAACAAAAAAACGAAATAAAAACAAAAAGAAAAAAACTCTTTAGCAATAATTAAGAAACACCAGTGGAATGAGTAAAAGTCAAGTGAAAATATGTGCAGAAAGTAAAACCCAAAATGGAATATAGTTGTGAGAAAAATTTGAAAAAAATGCAAAGGAAAAAATAAAACGTTAAAAACAGTAGCAGAATAAGCTTAAGGGATAGATTTTTGGCGGCTAAAAACAGAGAGAGATAAGTTACCGAAAGAAGATAGACGAGAGAACACAAATAAAATGAAATGAAATGAAAAGAAGAGTAAAACCAAAAGAAAACTCGAACAGAAAAACAAAAGAAAACCAAGAAGAAAAATATTGAATAATAATCACCGACAAATTGAGATTTAATAAAGATTTAATTACTAACAAAAAAAATAGTTATATTATTTGTTATGCACATGAGTGTTACATGTTCTTTTGTCTAAGAAATGTTGCATATATTTCCGACTTAAGCTTCGAGGGAATTTCAGCTGTGGAAAGGTTGAATAATTATTACAGATACATTACTTATTCATTTCTTTACTTACAAATTGTAGGTGAGTCGAACCGCTTGCCGAGTAAACATCTCGGAAAATATAATTTCCGAAAAATCACAAAAAATTTAATAAACGAAAAAAATGACGAAAAAAATTAACAAGTGTTGACATTTCCCCGCGAAGCATTTAGAAGGTGTAATGGTGGATCTTTGCGTACCGCCTGATAAGTTGATAGTGATTTAATTTTTGTATTTTTAACCCCATCTTCTCTAAATATAGTAAAAATATTACAGAAAGAATGGAAATGTTCTTACTTACAAATGGTAAAGTTTTTCAACTAAATGATTCGTATTCCCTGAAGTGCAAGAAATGGGTGAAATATTTCTGATACTCCTGCAAAAATATGAAAATTTAAGAACGAAATTATTGAATATTTGACGACTTACCACGACTTAGTTTTGAAACTTCATAGACCTTTGACTGGCGCATGTGTTAGTTCTAGGAGGAGAGCATCGCACCACTTGATGAACAGAAGTAGGGTCTCTGGAATCGCCTACTGCTGTATCTGCTGCGTAGATTTAGTCTCCGCATTGATCATCTTTTTTAGTTTCGGCCGAAAGAGTTTCAACAAAATAAACGAGTAAAAAATATAAAATAATGAATTATTCGAGTGATCTGACTTTGTGGACTAATACTATTTCAATGAATTGTAGCTGAAACCTACTTAGATGCCCAAAAGTATGCTTTCAACGTGAGAGCAAAACAATCCATGAAATGCTTGTCTACTTTTGGCAGCGTGCGTTTCCCCGCATTTTCTCGTGGAAATTCCACAAAGGCTTAACCACTCCTCTCCACCCCACACCTCCTTTGATTCATTCATTTTCCGTTTTTAGCCAGAATCCATTCATTCATGAATTCCTTGGCATTTTTCCATCATATTTCACATGCCACGTACCAGAGCAAGTGCCTCTGTCGCAGCCCCTCTCTCGTCGCTCGTTTGCATCTGTATCTTTTGCATCTGGTTTTTGGGGTCGAGGTGGCCGCTGCCTGCGTACGTGCCAGACAACAGAAGAGAGCCACTCCACACACTCTCCTCTCAACTGCCCCGCAGGTGAGGAGGCGACACCAATCACAATCATCATAAGACCAACGCCATCGCCATCGCACGTTGATTATGATGTGGTGAGGGGGGGGGACTCCGCTGGCTCTGGCTCTGGGGCTCTTCTCTGTAGATCTTTTGTCGAGTGTTTTTTTTTTTTTCTTTCGCGAAAGTTTCTTTTTATCGCCGCGGCAAGATTCTAACATTTTTGTGTGCATTCCACTTTGGTGCGTTCTGGCGAGTTGTTCCCTTCGAAGCTGAGCTCAGCGGCTGCTTCACGAGTTCTCTCGAGTGTTCTCTTCGTTTTGGCCATAAAACGTACTCGAACCCATTAAAACGCGCCACTCTGATAACCGCAAATGGCCAAAAACGCAGAGAAGTGTAACCCGAAGAAGAGACTTCCCTCCGCAGACGTGTTTGCATGTGCGTCTGTTTTTGTGCTGTTGATTTATTTGATGGCCAGTTAGCGTAGAGATGATGATGTTCCCTCTGATGTAGAGGCTGCGGCACGTTGCAGCAGGACGGGAAGGCTCAGCGTGGCTCTTCTTGAAATGGGCCAACAGATTGGGCCACCAATTATCCGGGTTCATGTTCTTGTGTGTGTGGGAAAACGTTGGGATTTGAGGAAAGTTTATGGAGGATTAAGGTAGCGGTTGCCACAGATTTCAAAGCAGCGGAAAGAAATATTTTTTGTTGGAATCTGCGAGTTGGCAGTGGAAAGGTAAACTTCCTGGAGATTGAAGCATGATTAATAGATGCTTTTGCCATGCAGCAATCGAAGGAGCATAAAGAGATTCAATCCTAAGCAAGGGAATCGCTCAATCTCTATAACTTCTTTAGCTTAGATCAGCTCCACATGTGCAAGAAACTGTTGGCCCAGGCCAAAGTTTATTGCTAGCCAAAAGCTCAAAGGGTAATGAAGACAACCATTTGGCATCCATCCTATCCTGCCATTCCATCGATTGTCCTGCAGCTGTTTGTCCAGCACTATCAATCCCACTGCTATCAATCCGAACAATCGGTTAACACTTCAGCTTGAACTGCAGGCTGTCTACAGTGCTGCGTCCATTGTTTAGCCGGTCAGAGTCACAGAGACACAGAGTCACAGAGCAAAGATAGAGGGGAGGCGAAATTTGCATTTGGCCACAGGTTGCGCGACTCTTCCACCAAGTGTGGCCTCTCCCTGGGCTTTGCTTTCTTTATGACCCATCCAGACGATGTTGCCGCTTTGCAGTTTACAGTCTAACAGTTTTACCTATGCATTTTTCCACCTCTTTGCCTTGCGCTTGTCCACCTCTTTGCCTTGCTCTTTTCCACCTCTTTTCCTTGCTCTTTTCCACCTTTTTTTCCCCTGCTCCACACCGCCTTTATTGTATATAGATTTTTCACTATTGCCTTTTGTTCGCTGTTGTTTCTGGCAGTGAAAAACTTTATTTGATTCTATTTTCATTTTATTTGAATTGTGTTTTTTTTTTTTGTTTTGCGGCTTTTATGGCGCGACCGACTCTCTGCCGAGATTTGTGTTGTGAAAGTTTGGCCAATACACAGTTTTTGGGCCGCCACACAATCATCGATGAGAAGAGTAGCGCTGCCGCTGCTGCTGCTGCTGCTGCTCCTCCTTCTTCTCCTTCTCCTCTTGGCTGTGTGCCGCTGCCTGCCTTTTGCTGGTGATTGTAAAACAATAAAAGCAACACCTGACTGCCGTTTCGTTTCGTTTTTGGGGCTGCAAGTGGCAACAACAATGGCGATGACTTTGTTGGTGGCCCAAAGAGCCAACAGATCTTATCCTGGCCCTGGCCTAACCAAAAATGGCCAAAAACCAAACAGAAACAAACATGCTTATTGTTGCATGGATGCCAACATTTCAATTGCGTGGCTCAAGTGCGTTTTTCGGCTGGGAATGGATGGGTCTGCTTTTGACACAACAAATTGTGGCGCTAAAGGGAGGATATACCCAGAAGATACTTTTTTTTTTTTGTGGGAGAGGCTGCTGCAGAGTGGGGCAGAGAGATGGTTAGTTTGAAATTAAATCTAAATCTAAATAAATAAAAATCGTGCACTGTTAAGTGAAAGGCAACGAAAGACGACGATCTGCTGTTGCTGCTGCTTGCTTGCTTGCTTGCTGCGCTGCTGTTGCAAATTTAATCAATTGATGAGGCAGGCAACAAACAGCATTGGTTGCACAGGTTGCACATTGGTGCCCGTTGCTTTTATTGTTGCTTGTCGATGGCTGCCAAGCAATTTGGATTTTGTGGCACCAACAAAACCTGACCAAAAAGACATTTACATTCTACTGTTTCTACTGCTGCTGCTGCTGCTGCTGCTGCTGCTGCTGCAAGTGTCGTTGCATGCAACAACAACACTGCCGCACACTTTACACGCTAGAAACCGTGACTTTAATTTACTTCCATCTCTCTCCCCCAATCACACTGCCTCCTGCCACATTTTCCTTTTGTTTTGATTTGTTTTTTTCCAACCAATTTTTTTCCTCTCTTTTATATAATTTCCCATTAAATCGGCTCGCAATGTCGCACAGCTTTTTGTGGCAGCCAGCAGCAGCAGCAGCAGCGATTGTGTTTCTGTGGCATGCTTTTAATTTGTAATTATATTTTACTTTCGTTTGTCTTGGCGAGCATTGATTTATGGCCCACAAAACAGAGAAAAGTCCGAAATGTCCAAACAGCTCGAAATGGCTAAATGGCGAATGCAATTGGAATCGTGAGTTAAAGCGCTTGTCAAATTAACAGCCGGCTGAAGTCTCGATCCAAATGGAGATTCAGAATGAAGTCCATCGCCAGATGATGGGTTCAAACAGCCGCGGCACTCGCTCTCTCTCCCTTACATAAAACCTTCTTTGTAGGTGGGTTTACCTTTCCGCTTTCTTGGCCTTTAATTTGATTGAAAATGTTGCAATTTTTGTGGCTGTAAAGCAGTAGTGACACTGCTGATATGTGGCTAGGGGTATAATTCTTTAGAAAGGGAAGCATTTCGCAGGCCACTAATTGATCAAAGTTCCAAGTCTTTTCCACAAAAAAAAAATCAATAAAATTCCTTACATTAAATTGCTTTTCATTCACCAACTTTCCACTGAACTTTCCTTAACTTACAAACAAAAATACTTCCGCAGTCGAAAGCTACCAGATCGAAGCTTTTTTATCATATATCTCCCATAGAAATAAACAATCCTTAAGGGCAACAATCTTTAAGTGTATCAAAGTCTTCGTTTCCTCCCCCCAAAAGTCAGCCTTTCTTTCATTCCTTTTTTTCCTTTTATTTTATAGATTTGTGGTTGTTGTGGCCTTAGTTGTTGTTGCGGCTGCAGCAAACACGCAATAACAGGCAACATCAACAACCAAAACACCCACTCGCTCGCTTGTGGCAGGCAGCGACAAGCAGCAGATGGAGGCAGCAGCAACAACAGCAGCAGCAGGTTGGAGCACGAAAAATGTGCAACCAATTTCCAAAAGCGATTCTATTGACAACATGCCACATGCAGCAACATGTTGCTGCAACATCGAAAAGACCCATTGATTAGGGTGACCCTTGTAGTGGGTCTCGCCTCTCCCTCCGTGCCTCTTGCCCATTGACTCTGTTTGCTGCAACTGTTACGAGGTTGTCGTTCAATTGATTGAATTACATACGTGCCACACGGCCACGGCTACGGCCTCCTGCCACTGTCACTGGCTTGTTTGCCCCTGACTGCTGACTCTTGTTCCAGTTGCTGGCCTCCCTTTGTGGCAGACCTTTAAGTCCACCTCCGCAAAGTTAGAGCCTGACTTTTGAGCCTTGAATTGGCAAACATTGGTCGCCATGCGACTTCTGGGGGCGAACTAGAGTTTGGGGCCAGAGTTGGAGCAGACTTTGGACAAGAGTTTGGGAGCACTGTCTCGGGCCCAGTGTGGCAGCAAGGTCTGGGGCAGAGTGCTGCCTGGTTAGCCAGTTAATTAGCAGACTGCCAGGCAGCCATTACCAACTCCTCGTTGCCCCTTGTGCCACTTGTGAGTGGGAGCTGTCGAGCAGTCGAGTGCGAGTGGGTGGCAGCAGGGGGCAGCCACAGATGCAGCTGCTGCTGCTGCTGCTGCTGCAATCAAAACTGAAGTCAAGGATGGCTTAAGATATAAGCAGCGATACGCGTGCTATTTGGAGTGGCAATAATTCCCATAGCGAGGCTTAAGATACAGTTTGGAAATATTGCCACAACTTGAGATTACAGTAGCTTTATGTGCGCGTACAGTAGCCGCCATACGTGTATATTTTATCGCTAAAGACAAAATCCTTTAAGCGGCTTGCAGTGCGCCGATTGGGCTGCTATATCACCTTTAGCATTGGTTGCCTCCAATCACTCAGTGTCCAATTGCATAAGCCATCAACCCTGCCGCCACTGTTAATTCCCCCCCGCTATTCCCGCTGACCATTGCAACAACAAGCCACACAACAAAAACCACAGCCAAAAGCCGCAAATCCACGACGAACTTGTCCTTAAAATGTCAGCCAAAGTGTTCATTAATTTGTGTATCGCATGTCTCTCTCTCACTCACTCTACATATCTCTCCTGCTCCCTCTGTCTACCTCTTTATTTGTTGCTCCATTTTGTTGCACGTGTGTGTGTGTTTGTGTGTCGCTGTGTCTAGTCATTGATCATGAATTCCATGAGCTTTGGCACTCGTGCCGTTGCCGTTGCCGTCGACGTTGCATGCGTCATTCCCCCTAACCAATGCATATGCCACCAGCAATTGGCGACACAATTTTTGTGTTGCCTGGCTTTGGCATGTGCCTGTGTGCCTCCCTCCCCCTCACCCTCCCACCCTGACCCAACCAACGTGCCACAACCTACGCAAGAAAAATAATCTCCGTTCCGTTGAGTTGAATGCTTCGACTGTTCGTTCGTTCGACTGACTGACTGACTGACGGACTGACTGCTCCGCCAGTAGTTTGTAATTTTCATGTAAAAGTCGCGCAAAATGCAAAATGGCCCTGCAACAACAACAACAAAAAATGCTGCCGCTGCTGCAGTGTTGACTGACTGGCAGGCCACGCCCCCCTTGCCTCCTCTTTCAGCCCTGATTCCAGAGCAGAGCCCAAGGCCCCAGGTCGAGTCTGTTGGGGTCTCCTCTACCGAGCTCCCCATCAATCTCAATTGCTTCGCATTTTCATATGCGACTCTTCGATCATTTTGCGGCACGAAGTGACAGGCAACAGGAACCCATACAAAAGATACAACAACGGTAATAAAAATTGCAGATTTGTCACAGCATTTGTTGTTGTTGTTGCTGCTGCTGCTGCTGCTGTAGTTGTTCAGCGTGGTTGTTGTTGTTGCTGCTCTTGGCCTGGCCTGATTCTTTTGGCTCTGTTTTGCCTACGTCGCGTCGTGTGCCTGTAATTACTTTTTATTATGTGTATTTTTTTTTTTGGCGTATACCCTTTTCTGCAGGGTGTTGTGATTTTTAAGAGATTTATGCAATGCAGAGGGATTCAGAATTTCATGAATTAGGAAATTTAGTGGATTTATTAAATATTCTAGGTATTCCACATTAAATTCCACTTTTAATTACATCCTCAGTTACATTCTTCATTTGATTACACTGCGCACATTACCGACTGCCAGCACTGTACCAAGAACTGTTCTACAATAACGTTCGTTCTATTAGGAGAGTGAAAAGAAGATAAGCAAAAACCGTTTATGCATAGGGAGAGGGAAACGAAGACGAGCAGAAGCACATGCGTCAATTTCCAGTGAGAGCGAGCAATTAGGAAACGAAAGAGGAGTAGGAGGAGAGCATGGAATGAGAGAGATCATTTAGCTGACCTACGCATCTGTACCGCTCTGCCAGCTTCCAATGTCAGTGCGAAAAATGTGAAAATAAACGAAAGTATTGTTGCGCAGTAAAGTGAAGTGGAGTGGAGTGTTGTGTAGTGAAGTGTAGTGAAGTTTAGTGAAGTTGCAGTGCAGTGATTAAACATAAACAAAATATCCCAAAAACCAGGTGTAATAGTGTTTAATAGTGAAAAGTGAATAAGCTGCGTGATCAAGTGCGTTGGCGGACCATGTGCGGAATATAGGGAAATATGTTTGCCAACATAGCAATACAAGTGTGTAAAATATTTAATATATTAAAGTTGAGCAATTTCTATTTTTTTCTTGTGCAAAACGCAGCTAAAATCCATAGGCGCATGGTTCCGTTATGTCTGGAGATGTCTCAAATTTGTTCGTTCGTTTGTGAGCGCGCGTGTGTGTGTGTGAGTGATAGAATGCAAAAGCAGCAGCAAGTCGCTCTCCATTCCCAGAGAGCATTACACCAGTGAGCAGCAGAGGAGAAGAGGAGCCAGCAATGCTCTCGTTTGCAGACTCACGACAATGTGAGGTGAGGCTTTCCAATTGCCCGAAGATGTTACGCTCTCCCGTCCAACCACTTGATCAACATAAGCGATTGGCGTGGGAGTATGTGCCCTGTGATGCCTCCACCTTATAATAATCTATCCCGAAATTTGTGCTCTTATTGGAATTGGCACATTTCAAATCCATTTGCGTTGTGCTGGAAGAAAAAGGAACGGTACATGCTCGTGGGCATAAGGTAAGAGAAAGAAGATTATTGTTCCTCCATTTCAAGCGCATATTCTTATATTTTTATTTTTGTACACTATTTAACTCTCCCTCTTATTCCTTTGATGACTCTTGAAATTAGGGTATACATAATTCGGCACGCCGAAAGTTATTCTTTTTTGCAGCTTACAATATTCTGGTTTCTGGGACTTTGTTTCTGGATTTATCTCGCCCAAATGTCTACGCGTGATTAAACGTTTAAATTGCCAGATATGATATATCCCCGAGAGCCTGTCGCCGTCTGTTTTCCTCGTCCAACTCTTGACATACGACTCTCGGTAGGTACTGGGGTACAGCCTGTCGCTGGGATTGGACTTGGATTGGATTGTCTTCTGGTTCTGTCTTCTGGTTTTCTGTTTATTGTTGTTCTTTTTCGAAAGTCTCTCTGGCAGTGTCAGCTGCTGCTGTCGGTGGCCTGCCTGTCGATGTTTGTTGTCTGTTTGCTGTCTGCTGTCCTCGTTTGTTCTCCCCAATAAATTGGCTTCAGGCGACAGCCAAAGTGTGACAAAATATTGCCTGCTTGAAGCGGGGTAAATAAATATAACAATTATTTGGGAATTTTTCAGGGAATTTTTTTTTTGTATAAATGCCATTTCCATCACTCAAAAGCCATGGACTATCGCTTTCATCATTTTCGTATTAGTTTAAGGTTTTATTCAAATGGGAAAACTGTTCACACGATCGCTTAGATGTCCCCCCAACTTATAACACATTAATACTTAATAGTTGAAGACTTTATTCAGCGCCCACATACCAGCATTTAACAAGCAACATCCAACATCCAACACCCTTTTAAGCCCCTACTTCACGCTTAATTAGTCGCATTGTACAAATGGCTTTATCGCGAGGGTCTTAAACACAGTCTTTAAGTCAAGAGCATAAAACACGCTTTACAGATCCAACCAGCGGGTGTCAAATGAGGGGAAGGGAGAGAGTGTATGCCAACGACGACTCCAAACCAAAAATGGTCAAAACATGAAATCCTATTAGACAAATTGAAATTACAAATGAGACAACAACGAAATTAATTTATTAATTAGTCACACTCCATTATGGTCAAACAAAGCTGTTGGCCTGCTGGCCTGTTGCTGGCTGCTGGCAGAGGAAAAAGAGTTAAGTGACGTAGCAGCAGCAGCAGCGGCAGCGGCACAAACAGAAACAGTAGCCCCAAACGGCTGCCCACGACATGCCGCTTGAAATGTCTGACAGATGAAGCTGAATGTCTGAGGCCATAACTGATGCCAAAAGCTGTCGTTCGAACCATTCCTGGTGTGAAAATGCTTACGAGAGAGAGATCCCATTTGGTGGGAGTGGGGGGGGCCTGCAACAACCTGCCTGCTGCACGCAACGTGGAACGATCGTCTGTCTGTTTGCGTGTGTGTGTGTTGTGTGTGGGTTGTGTTCCTCTTTGTTGCGCTGCTTGCTGCCTGACATAATCAATGATAAGCGATCGCTAATTAAAATTATTAAAACCCAGAAATCTACACAGCGGACAATGAAAATGAAAATTTGTGCCATTCTGGGTAGTCAGTCGCTGAACGGATATCGGGGATATCGCCATCCAGAGATCTTCTGTACCGCTGGTACCACTGTGCGCGGGTTCCATTTTCAGGCAAACGCTTGGACAGGTTGTTGGCAAGACAATTGCAATCGGTTTTTGGGCCTGCAGCCAAAGAGTTATCATGTGAAAATCCACAAGGAAGTATGGAATGGAATGGAGGAGGAGGCCTCCTTCCTCCTTCCTCCTTCCTTCCCACTGCATTCATTTCATTACGGGAGCATTTCATTTCTATTTCAGCCTTCATCATTATCAAGTCTTTTTGCGCTGCTGCTGCTGCTGCTGCGATAGCCATAAATGGCGCAAAGTGAATGCCCGGCCAGGCCAATGAGGGAGGCAATGCTTGGCCAAAACGGCATTCAACGGCATCCACTAAGGCGTTTCGTTTCGTTTTGTTTGGTTTTTTTTTTGTGTGTCTGCTAATTAAGACTTTTTCTGGGTGTCAAAGGCAGTCTCTACCTGCCGAGCATAATTCATATTTGTAGGCCTACATTCGATTACATTCGTTTCCATTCGATTCGATACGATTCAGTTTTCAGATTAATTTTTGTTTTTGTTTAGTTATACAAGTAGCTTGGCTGGAGAAAGTTTATTTTTTTTTTGTTTTTGCTGGTTGGGCATTTTTATATTTTTAGCGCCATAAATAAGCGTTTTTATTAATGGCAGCCCATTAACCCCGACTAATTAATTAACAAAACTCTGAAATATAAATGTTATAACCAGCAGAAGAAAAAGAAGGCAACAAAAAAGCAAATACCTGGAGGCGCGCTCGCTGGTACAACATTTCAAGCCGCATGACTGGAAGACTGTCTGTCAGTGGGGCAGACGATTTTGATGTGCGGCTGGCTCTCAGGCCATAAAGCCACTCTTCGGGCACTCTGGCTGATCTTCCCAATCTACTGCCACTCTGCCACTCTATACGACTCTTCTTTGGTGATGAGTTTTCGAATGATGCGTATCCAATGTTTATTTGAATTTTTTCCATATCAAATATTTATGAGATGCTCGTTAGATCATTCATGAATGAAAGACTTGGGGAATTTATATGACCAGATCATGTTGGAAGGCAGTCTGAAGAGCTCTCCTACTGATGGATCTATCTGTTGTCTGTGAATGATATTTTTGGGAGCAGACATCTCGCCCTTTGAATATTTTTTTTTAACATAAATCTAAAACGAACGCCCACGTTTGTATCTGTTTTTTGTTTTGTTATTTTTTCTTCCTCGATAGTCAAAATTATTTTTTTTTTCTGTGTTTTTGTTTTCTTCGTTGATTTTAACTAATTTGCGTTGCGTGGAATTTTTCGTTGATTTTCTTTCTAGCAGTTTGTGTTACCTTTTGGGCTGTGTGAAAAGCGTTTAATAAAAAGCTGTAATAAATACTTAAATGCTGAAAGATATGAAGGAGATCATTGGCATGGCAACGAAGACAATGGGCCACATTTTACGTTTTTACGTATACGTTGAAAATGAAAAAAAAGTATTCAAAGTGGTGCTCCGATCATGATGATGATGATGATGCTAGTGGTGGCTCTCGTATAATCGTAAAAAATTCATTGAGGCAATTGTGTGGCTTTTTGCAGGCAGATTATCTGCAATATGTTCCCTCCCACAGGTCAAGCGTGGCACATCAATTACTTTGTGGCACAGGCGCAGGCGCACTCGCAGGCACAGGCTCAGACCTCCCTCTCTAGACAGGAAACACGCACACACAGACACAGACAGACAGCCTGTGGATGTGGCAGATACACAGACACACAGGTTGACCTCTCAATTTAACGCTTTATTCGCTTATAATGCCAGGAAATGCCACAACATCTTCGATCGTTGGAGGAGGAGGAGACTTTGGTCTTTGGTTGTTGTTGTTGTTGTCTTTTGGCAGATACTTGATCTTGGCATCGGATTGTGCGTTGATTGTTTTATTATGAAGATGTTTGGATAGCGGAGAAAAACATAATTCCCCCAACTCCTGATTTTATGGCTATATTATTAAGGTAATCTGTGACGATCAGCAGAGATCTGAGTTGTCAACAATTCGGGGGAAAGCTAATGGGAGGTGAAGCATGCCAGGGATCGTTTGAGCTAGAGCGTGGGCTCTTTTGGGTCACCAATTCTTTGGGGATGGGATCATTGCAGCGTAGGAGATTATTTGAGGTATTGGCCATAACACTTCGTTTTGATATAAAATAAAAGAAAATCATTCCAGGGAATGTGCCTGCACGATCGTCATTCGAAATGAAAGACTATCCCAGTTAATATCTATTTTTCTGGGCACTAAACGGAGGATCCAGGTGTCTTAGCACTCGAATACGAATAGAAAAATAGTCTAGAGAATTGCCAGAGTCGATCTTCATTAGAGAATGAATTCATTTCATTCATTCTTAGCATACACGCTCCTTAATGTCTGACTGAATGCCCCCCGATTGGCGATAGTCTCATTACCATCTTCATTCGTATGGGGGCTGCCACTCAATGTGCATGCCACATGGGCAACAGCTACTCGTGGCTCGTTTGGCCAACAATGCCATACATATATCTAATTAGTCGATCCATTAACGTGACACCAAGAAGGCGCCCCCAAAAAAAAAACGCAGACAAACGGCCATTAGGCGGATTGTCAATGCGCTTTTTATTATAACTTTTTATAATTCTGTCCGCATTTTGCCACAAAACTTCACTCGCCCGCCCGACTGCCCGCCCGTCCACCCTCTCTCTTTCTAGCTCTCCTATGGCCCCCCTCTTTCTATCTCGCTCTCTTCTAGCCATGTGGTGGCTGCAACATTTCATTAATCGAGTCACGACATTAGACATTCAACAGAGTGAGAGAGGGGGGCAGGCAGCCCATAACCAGGCATAAAGACAGGGAGGAGGGATAGGGGCAGGGGCAGCCGAACCATTGGAAAAGCCAAAAAGCCCGGGCGTATGGCAGAAATTTTTCCTCCATTGCGCTTTTGGCCAAAAAAAAAAAAAAAAAAAAAAAAACAAAAATTGCAACTTTGACAACTTTATCGCCGCTAAGCGATCGACAACACAAGAGCCCAGGCAGGCAGGCAGCCAGGCAGGGATGTCAACAGCAGGGCTGCTGGCTGACAGCAGCAGCAGCAGCAACAGGGCGGTGGGCGGAGGGAGAGGGCTGCAGACTGCAGAGGGAGTAAAACATTTCCCAGCCAGCCTCAAGGAAAAAATACTGTCAACGGGGCCCAAGCAAAGGAATCTAAATTAAATCACATAATCGCTTTGACGGATTGTCCCGCCGATTTGTTGAGTCTTTTCGATTCGATTCTACTGCTGATCGAATAAAAGACTGACTCTCTAAGCTCCACTTTGCCCCCCCGCTCCACGCCACAGATAATGCCACACACATGGCAACAGCCGTCTAATGGCCCCACTAATGGCAGCAGCAGCAGCGGCAGT